CACGACATCTGTAGCTCATCGCAACTGCCTGGATAATATGTGTATCTGACCCAAACGTATCTGGTCCTTCTTACATATACCAAGGAGTAGATGTTTGACAAAAATATTATTTGTTCCTACAGATTTTGTCATTTAGCAGTTTTAAGTGTTATTTAACATTCCACATTGCTTTTGGAGGTTATACAAAACATGTGACAGCATTACTACACCTGCAACTTCCGAAACTGCTGCGTAACAGTTTTTGCCTACTATTGGCAAAACAACTTTTGCAACTAGAATTTTTTAGGCTTCATAAATAATATAGCAAAGACATTCTTAGCTTAAAAAGAAAACCACATATATTTACCTGCCATCATAGCTATCATACTGGCTTTGTAGACATTAGCAAGGGACCCCAGTTCACCCGTTGCCAAGATTGTTTTCATATGAGCTTCTCCACAGGCCTCACGGCACTGACGGATCTCCTCGTAGAGACCTGTGGATAAAAGCATGTAAAAATTATCAAAGTTGCCTGAGAGACATTTTCAAGTATGGCTGTAATTTCCACTTCTGGATTAATTTCCAATCTTACAATTAGTCATAGCACTCAAGAACTTAAGTTTTGTAAGTTCAATAAATTACATGACTGGAGGTAATTAACAATGCCACACAGTTTCAGACTTAATAGCTATTAATGTTAGTTCTCTCAAAACTAAGAATGTGCACAGTATACCAAACACTCAAGAATACATCAGGAGTAAAAAATGCTATGACAAGATTGATTTTACAGCAGCTTTTTCAGCAATAAATATGGTAGTACATTGACTCAGTACCCAGGAACAGTTGTTTTCCTGTCCACACCACGTCATCACCCTCTCTGTCCCCTTTAGCCTGCCTGTGGAATGATTGCTGGGGGTGGCTTAGAAATCAACCTTATATTCACGCTCTAAGAGCAGCATTGAAGCAGGGTGGAATGCAGCTAATGTGCGACGAGTCTGTACCATGGCAATTCCCTAGGCAACCCCAGATGTTGCCAACATCAGGGGAACTTGGTGTGCTGACTCTTAGAGAAATTGCCTGGAGGGCGGAGTGGAGACACCGCGGCCGTGCTGTGATAACGAGGGAATCTAAAGGTACACGGTATAAATCAATAAGCTGGACATTTGATGCCCTGGGCCAACAGTCTGTCAACTTTTGACAAAATGCTGTACTCAGAGTGAACTTTGCCTATTATGATCTCATTATAATACCAAAACACACCTCAATCCCAAAAGTTACCCGCCTCCCAAGGTGCGACCACCCCTCAATGAGCTTGCGCAACTGAGTTTTTCCTAGTCTGTGCCTTTAAATGCGAAGCGAGAGAATTTTGGACCAATCTTGATAAAGGTACGTATGACTAGAGTCACTCAAGCTCCACCTGTGAAGTAAAACACTATAAAACAGTTTGAGATGGGGTGGATGTCAGGGAAGATACCATCGATGCAACGACCCCGTTCTCCTGACCTTTAGGATCCGCCGACAGGCTGACCCTCTCTTCTCCCCATTGGGACGCCTTTGGGTAAGATTCGAACACTTGGCTATCCCAAGTGAATCCCCAGGAATCTCAGGAATCTCTGTAGAGTTGCTTTGTTACCCCACGCACGTGTAACCCGGCTGTAGTTATCTATTTGCATGTGCTTTGCAGACAGTGAATTTATCACCGGCAATCTAAGAGAATTTGTGCATCTGTTGCTTCAATCAGTCGCACTATTGATTGACTCAGCCGCGTGTGCTGTCTCCGAATGTGACCGTACCTCTGAGTGCGGCCGTGCTAGTTCAGGTGGTACCTGGCTGAGCAGATAGCGCTGGCTGAGCAGGTAGCGCGATGTTAGTAGTGCATCCGGACCCACGGTAGTCCAACGGAGGTGTTGGGTGCGACCAGACTACTAACGCTGACTTGGGCATCACTCAGAAACTAAGGCCAGCCGCCCCCAGTCCCTCTGATACCTGAGGATCGCAAGGGGATTCAGTTTCCGCCAAATTGCTTTGCCTCTTAATGCAACAGAAAAATTGGTGTAACTGACAGGGCTGTCCCACGGTAGTCCAACGGAGGTGTTGGGTGCGACCAGACTACTAACGCTGACTTGGGCATCACTCAGAAACTAAGGCCAGCCGCCCCCAGTCCCTCTGATACCTGAGGATCGCAAGGGGATTCAGTTTCCGCCAAATTGCTTTGCCTCTCAATGCAACAGAAAAATTGGTGTAACTGACAAGGCTGTCATGGATAAACTGCTGCAAAAATATAACTGTGCCCCTTCCAAGGCTGGGAAGGAGTGGGCCCAACAATTTTGGAAGGATGAAGAAAAAGTGATAGAATGCATTGAGCAGTGTCAAGCTGCACAAAAGGGTAGAGTGAGAAAAAGCAAAGGTGCCATCTGTGCAGTTTCAGGAGCTTGTTTATCTTGTGCTCAAGAAGCAGCTAAGGAAGCTCTTGCTCCCACGCCAGTTTCTAATGTGGAATGTACAACTCTGAAATCAGAAAATGAGGTGTTGAAGTCGTCATTAGCTTTTGAAAGGGAGACAGGAGAAAAATTAGGATTCCAAGTTGATAAACTTTTGAGTGAAAAGGATAGGCTTTTGAGAGAAAAGGGTAAACTTATAAAGGAACATGAAGACCTTGTGTGCCAAAATAGAAATAGAAAATCTTAAATAGAAATCTTAATCAGCTATTAGACAAGGTGTGTCAGCTGTTAGATAAAATACCATCTTTTGCTCCAGTTACACAGATTCGCAGGTTAATGCTTAAATCAGACCCTGAGACTGGAAGCAGATCTGTGTGATTTTGTAGTAGTGATGAGGACACTAGAGAAACCTCTGATTCCAACTCTCAACTGGTCCCCTTACGACCCTTGCTTAAAACCGAGACTATTGTTGATGACGATGATGAGGTCCGCACTACTGTGCATACAATTCCATGGTCACCAGCAGAGTCGAAAAAAATACAGGAAAAATTCTCAAGGCGACCAGGAGAGCCAGAGGTTGAGTATTTGTGGCGAGTTTCCCTTGAAGGAGGAGACCGGATTATGTTGAATGAGGAAGAAGCAGGAGGCTTTTGGGGGCCAGGAGTGTTTTTAACCACCAACCCAGGGAAGCATAGACACTCCTTGACCTCCCAGGTTGCGTTTTGGGCAGGTGGCATAGATCCCCAGCTGGAGGGAGAACCACTGGAAATTAAAGCCACAGGCTATTCTGATCTAGCCAAGGCAGTACAGAAAGCAGCCTGCATACAAGCGATGTATGACAGGAATCAGTTTTTTAAATCACCAATGTTGGCCCCAGTGGACCCAGCGCAATTAACCCTTCTCATTCATGGTCTCCCTGATTGTCTCAAGATGTGTGTAGCAAACACCCAGGATCATATACAAACCACTATCAATGACGCTGGTCGCAGTCCAGTCAAACCGGTTCAAATTGCTAATGTACACACCTGGAGTGACTTTGGACAAGACCTAGATAAATACGGACGCTGAATGGGTTGGATCGGATTGTCTGGTGGAAAGCCCCAGAATATTTCTGGTGAGTTCACCAAGTACACACCCCCAAACATAAATCAGATCGGAAGTTTAAACCTGACAGGCAACGGGGTGAATTGTGGTGTAAAGCCCTGGATTTGGGGGTACCCCGATTTTTTTGAGCGGTGCCTCTACAGAGGATCTCCGTACATTAATCCAATCTCTGGGCAAAAAGAATTAACTGGCTGTGGAAAATCCTACAGCTCAGCCACCGTCAACCCACAAGGAAAGTGTGCCTTCTGCACCAGAATGTAATCCAACTGGTACGGCAGAAGTCCAGCAAAAAAACTTCTACCCCCGGGGAGGGCAGTGAGCCACCCAGCCCTGCGGGTATTAGCAGTTCAGTGGCTCTCCGTTAAAAACTCTGAACCCATCATTGCCATCCCCGTAGGACCCCAGAAAATACTGGTAAATTTTCTCACTGATACCGGAGCCCAGACGTCAGTAGTCACCAAAGAAAGAGCTCAAACCCTGGGCATCAGCCCCGGTCGACACAGGGTTAAATTTAGAGGAACAGACAGTGTGGTAAAGGAGGGTCCCACCGCCAAGGGTTCCCTCTGCTTGCCCGGGGAACAGAGGTGAACCAGGGCGGAGGTACTAGCAGGTGCTGCACACACTGACATCCTAGCACTTGACATGCTGCGCGGGCGGATGTGGAAACTCCCGGACGGGGCTGTGTGGAGTTTTGCAGGAACGGAAAAGGAATTCGGCACCATGAGACTGAGTCTGTTGGACACATCTATTCCCTTACCCCCCTCTAAAGTCACCAGTGTTCGGCAATACCTGCTGCCAGCAGCAGCGCTGGCGGGGATTGACGAGGTGGTAACAGAATTGGAAAAAAGGAGATGTCATTAAGAGGACTCATTCGCCTTACAATTCGCCAGTGTGGCCAGTAAAGAAACCAGCCGGGCAGTGGAGTTTTACAGTAGACTACCGACAGTTAAACGGTGACGCTGCACCCCTAACTGCCGCGGTTCCAAACATCGCGGAGATAGTGACTGATACAGGGAGCCGCTCACCCCTGGGTGGCTGCTGTAGATGTTAAAGGTATGTTTTTCATGATTTCCCTCCTGGAGCAGGATAAAAAGCAACTTGCTTTCACATGGAAAGGGACCCAGTATATCTTTAACCGGCTTCCGCAGGGATATAACCACTCCCCCACCATAGCTCACCATGCTTTGGCTAAGGCCCTAGCAGGAGTTTCTGTTTCATCTGGCTGTACGGTTTATCGGTATATCGATGATATCCTGGTAGGAAGGGCAAGTCAAGAGAGTGTAAATAACACCACAGAAACTATCCGGGGAACTTTACTTGAATTAGGACTGGAAATTCCAGACTCAAAGTGTCGGTGACCAGCACAGGAAGTTAAATTCCTGGGAGTCTGGTGGATTAAAGGAGCAGCTTCTATTCCTCAGGACACCCTGGAAAAAATAGAACAGGGACAAAATCCATCAAGTGCAAAGGAATTACAGGACATTCTGGGAGCCTTACGTTATTGGCATAAACATATTCCTGTTTTTTCCATTATTGCTCACCCCTTATATAACTTGCTCAGAAAGGGAAAATCATGGGAATGGACTGAGGAGCATACAAATGCCTTACAATTGTTGAAAAAAGAGCTGAGACTATCCAACAGCTTGGTCCTATACATCCAACTGATCCTACCCATGTAGAATGGGAGTTCAGTGAACACAGTTCTCATTGCAACTTATGGCAAAGGGGGCCGGAGGGCCCGGAGAGACCACTGGAATTTAGCTCCCACTCTTTCAACAATACCAAGAGCAGGTATTCAGATCTTAAGAAGGGTCTGCTACCCCTAGTACCGGCAGTGAAACAAGCTGAACAAATAAGGAGAGAACAGAGTGTGATCATTAGGGGACCTTTCCGTCTCCTAGACATAGTCCGTAAAGGAACAGCACCACTCACCGGTATCGCCCAGAAACCCACAGTTCGTAAGTGGTATGCCTACCTGGAGGGCATTAATGAAAGTTCCCAGTTACTGAGGGGAGTATCAAGACATCTAAACTGCAGAAGGATATAGAAGGTACCCTGTTGTTCCAACCTGTACCTAACAAACCTTCTCCAATTCAAGAGGCACCCCCTCTGAAGGAAGACAGTGATCCTACTGGAGTGTGCTTTACTGATGCATCATCTCACAGGGAGAATAATAAGTGGAAATACAAAGCTGTAGCACTGGAAGTGGAAACTGGAGAAAGAGTGATGGAAACAGATGAAGGTAATGCACAGGCAGGAGAACTTAGAGCAGTCCTTTTAGCTGCACAACATGGTGCTAGCCATATCTACACTGATTCATATGCTGTTAAAAACAAGAGTGGATTGGTCATCGGGCAGCTAATGGGTGGCAGGTGAACAGGGTCTCAGCCTGGCCAACCGATAGTTGGAAACAACTGCTGGAGATAGGAACACACAGGGTGTTGCACATTGGTTGGGTGAAAGGACATGACCATTCAAATTCTATCACTGCTCAGTTCAACCAACAGGTAGACAGCCTGACCTGGCTGCAACAAATTGAGGTTGTGAATGAGGACCAGCAAAGGGAACACCTACTCGAATGGTTACACCACAAGCGTGGTCACACCGGACGGGCAGATTTGTATTGAGAAGGCACAGCCGGAGGATGGCCTGTGTCAGTTAAGCTATGGGAGCACGTAGTGACTGCCTGTTCACAATGCCGTTCACAACTTAACAGAGACCACCCGAGTAAGGCGCCTTCCCTGCACATTCGGGACAAAAAGACATTGTGGAAATCCTGGCAGACTGTATCGGTCCATTGCAACCATCAGAAGGGAAAAAATATATTCTGGTGGGAGTGGAAGTTATATCTGGCCTCACCTTAGCTGCTGACTTTACATCAGCTACTGGGAAAAACACATTGAAGGGCGTTAAAAGATGGTTCAGCACACTTCCCATTCCAGAAGAAATTCAGAGTGATAATGCTTCACACTTTTCTGCTATAGTGGTACAAGACCGGGCCAAAGAAGAAGGGATTCGGCGGGTGTTCCACACTCCCTACTATCCTCAGGCTAATGGCATTGTTGAACACACCAATGGACTGGTTAAGCATTTTGCCAAAACTCATGAACGAGGGTGGCACTTGCAATTATACGATGTCATCTACCAACTGAATAACAGATGGAGTGGCAATAGCTGCCCCAAAATAAAAGCCTTCTGCACAACTGCCAATACAATTGCCCCAAAAGTTCATGTCAAATTCAAAGAACATTCTACAGGATTCTACACTGGACAACCTGTATTGGTGAAAATGCCTCAAATTGGACCAGTATGAATGGTACTGACCACCCCCAAAAATCCCTATGCACAGGAAGCCAAAGATTGTTCAGGAAAAGTACACCGGATCAGCACTCGGTGGAC